TTGAAAAACTGTCATCTGTTTCGTTTGGAAGTGCAGTAATAAGCCTTTAAAAAGTGGAGAAAATTTAATAACAATATTTAATCGGTAAATTTTATTTTCTCAACTGTTGTAACAGGAAAAGTATTGGAATTGGGCTAAATTTCACCTTCCAAGTTTTTTATAAATTACGTTTGAGACCTCCTGAACCCAAAAAAGGGAAAGAATTCTGTGGTTGTGCGTGTGCTTTAGTGTGTTGGCGTCTATTTTGTTTAATATTTCAGGATGAGCTAAAGGTTAAGAAACGAAATTTGATATGATAGCTTGTGTATAAGGGGCACTGATGCTATTAAATTTTGGTGGTTAAAGATAGATTTTCTGATAATTTAGAGTTATCATCAACAACATCTTGATATATGTTGATATGTTTCCGATACAGTCGTTGTAGTCGCCACTTCAATATTGCAATCTGTGTCGCACAATTTTCAAATTCGTCTTTATATTTACTGTTCGGAATTCTTTCTTAAATTTCTGCTGTAAGGTCAGGTTCTCTGGAAGTAGGAGTTTCGGCAGTTATTTTTTCTAAAATAAATTCACCTTTTCGAAAACAGTTCTCGACGGTTTTCTCTGAGAGTAGCTTCCAAGACATTGTTAGCAAATCAATTCATCAAGAAAAGTTTTTTTCAATTGTCTTTGCATTATATTGATCTTGAATTTCATGAAATTCAGCTATAATTTGCCTACACATTTGCCTGAAGTAATAAGCTTTTAAAGTTTATATGACACCGTGGTCACTTAGCTGAATTAACGATGTAGTGTTAGAAGATAAGATCATTTTGATGTTTATTTTAATGACACATTGTTTACTAACAAGACGATTTCTCGCTTGTTCACGACCCCATTTAATTAACCAATTGTTAAAATTTATATTTGTCATTCAAGCATTTGCACTAGAAAAGAAAGTAATCAACAGTCCATTAATCAGAGCATTGTTTTCATGATCATTATCAAACCAAATTCTTAATGCTGACTCGACTATCTTTTCCAGATCGTTCTTTCTTCTTATCCATGTTCTGGTTAGAAAGTGAACTGTTTGATCTATTTTTTAAAACCTTACACAAGAGTGATTGTAAAATTCTTAAATGTGTAGCCAAACTACATTGACTCATTTTGGGCAACTTACCACTATAAAATTCTTTTTCTTGAAGAGACAAATATCTACGTTTTTCTTTGTTTCTGCCATGATCCAAACTGTTTTTATAGAGCATTTTATACACTCGTCTTAATTACAGGTGATATCTCATCAGTTATATTTTATTACATTGATACCAGACCAGTATAACAAAATACAAAAACATATAAGTTCCGAATAATTTAAATAGAGATATAAAGGATTTAGAAAAAAGTAATGTTAGTCTATATATAAATTTAATAGTAATTGTAGTGACAATGATATATGTAGGTGAAGCAAAAAGACGTTTAAAGGTTCGAATAAAAGAACATATTAATGCAATAAGATATAATACACATAAATTACACATAAATTTCAGCTGTAGCAAAACATTGTAATTTAAACGGGTGTGAAATAGAAAAAGATTCGATAAAAGATATAAAATTTCAAATATTAATAAACTTAAATATTATGAACACATTGAAATTTTAAAAATTTAAAACGAAAAAAGAATTATTGATAATTTACGTGTAAAAATAGATAAAGGTTGGTATGATTATATTGATGAAAATAAAAATAGATTTATGACGTAAATCTGGTAACTTAAGTGACGTTTAAATATGCAAATGAACGTACTGAGATCGCTATTTCCTTGGAATTTGATTGTAAAAGTATATTGTTTTTCTTTTTGCTTTGTGTAATGTTTCAGTCGATCCTTCAGAAGTATCAATTGTAAGTATTGTGTCCATCGCTTTACTGTTTTAATACCTAAAAGTGTCTAACTAATTATGATTAATTGTGTTAGAACTCCTTACGAGGCTTGATTGTGAAAATATGAAATTATACCCCATTTTGAGATAGCGCCAGTTTCTTAATTGCATTTTGGGTGTATTTTACATATTTTGTACATATTAGTTTTAATTATTGTAAATCTCTTTTGTAAATTTAAATATATATTAAAATTATACATAAAGTGTCAGTGGCGTAGCAAACATAACTGGCGCCCAGGGCAAGACACTTTAATGGCGCCCCACCCTCTCCAGAAAGAAATCTTGTTTGTCTTGGAGACCATTTGGCGCCCCTCTGCGAGTGGCGCCCGGGGCATAATAGACCCTCTTGGAAATGCCCTTTTTGGAAACATCTGAACAAATATGTCTAGGTCAATCCTAACGGTATTGTCTTTGTTGTAGGATTATAACTGTAAAATGGACCTTATCCGGTTTTTGAAGACAATGAGACATAGAAGATTAACGCTAACGAGGGCTATAATGTGATTAGCGTTGTCTGACTAATACATTTGAAAAGTAAAGAATGAACAAAGAGAGTAGTAGTTGCTAGGAGAGACGAGTATGAGGAAAAATGGTTCAAAAAGTTAGGTTTCTGGACAGGATAAAATACAAATTCCATACTAGATGGATACTAAATCAATAAATTCATTCTTCAGTCGATTTCTTAATAATGAGAGCACAACGGGTAGACCGATCTGATTCCAGTCTCGTAATAAAGGACGTTTTCTCTCACTTATTATCATTACAATCTGGTCTTTGTTCACGTTAAGATGTCTACAAAATAATAAATAAATTAATTAAATCTGTTAAATAAAGAGCAGAAAATAGTGTAAGTAAAAGTGTGTTCAGTGGGCAATGATAATGGGGCATAAGATAAACTTTATAAGAATATTAGGATATGCATTCCATCTGCTGTGATTAGTGTTATCACATATAGAGTAATTATCATACAGGCTATTAAAGCAAACGAGAAAAACATTCGATGACATATTGAAAAATTGCTATAAACACATGGTTAGGATTCTCCAATGACGCTTATCTCATTATTGTTTTCATTAGCATTAATCCGTTGAGCTGTCTTCGAAGAAAACCAAATAAGGCCCGTTTTACATTCCTAACTCTACAAGGAAAACAATACAATTAAGATTGGCCTTGAGGTATTTCCAAGAGACATTTCTAGTCATTGTTTAAGTATAGTCGACATGTTAAAAATTCCAATTCTCTGACAATATAAATCTATGTAAAAAATTGGTCAATAGAAATTTCATAGATGAAATAAAAATGTAAATTTTTAAAGTAATTCTCTATACCAATATTTCTCAATCATTTCTTAGAAATTATTCACTACAGAACTTTTTCAGTCGATATTTTTCTGGTGATACTTTATTTTAAATATCGTGAATGAATAACTAAACATATTTTTACTTACATGCTGTATATACAGTATTTTCGTTCCTGGATTTCCATTGAAAAATACCAACGTTTTTACATTCCTGTTTTTAATTAAATATAAATGTAAAAAATAAAAATTTTAGAATAAAATAGTCAAAAATAATAATAAAATGGATTAGGCACAATAATAGTTTTTATAAATAGTTATTTGATATAGCAATAGTTAATAAAAATAAAAAGATAGATCTCAAGGAACAGCATTGAAGTATTCATGTTGTTTCATGTCGTTACTGGTACTACAATTATGACGTTTGTTTCTTTCTTTCTTCGAATTATTCATAAACAAATCATACTTTTCTATATTGTATTCCGAGGAATATTACAGCCGAATCAGTTTCATATGATAAAACTATCGCTCGAGGAGATACAAAGCTCTCAGTATTTCTATGCATACAAGGAATAAATAGAGCACGGAATGAAGACGAAATATCAACAAACATTTGAAACACAATGAACTCTTCAAAAATCCAATTATTCTATTCATAAATTACATTATTCAATTTTAGCCAGTTCCATGTAACTCAAAATATGTTCCATCTTTTAATTTCTTTTTTTAGTACAGTACTTAGTGTAAAAAAGTAGGGTAATTAGTTTAACTACAGTAACATAAATATCGTATATAAATTAAAAAATTCTTAATAAAAATTATTCATAGAAATTCATATTGTATTCTTTCTTGTTTTGTATTTTTTCATTTTCCCTGTGCTCAAGAATACTGTTATTTTATGCTTAATACAGATTGAACCACACTTTTCAATTAGATTATCGAAATGTGAGATTTATAAATTCAAGGAAAGAACATTCATGAAAAACTCTTTGAGGTGCCTGCACGGATTAGATGCTGTCACCCAGAGCAGCAAGTTAACGCTTTAATCGTCTCCACTATCTGCCTGGCAATTTTTGGACGGCCTATATCTCGCGAAGGGTCGCCCGTACAGGCATGGTTCCTTTGAATTTTTGTTCGTGGTAGGCTGCCACCCCAGAGCAGTAGGCAGCCTACCGCTCTGGGGGACCCGGGTTCGAATCCGAACGAGTCGAAAAATCCCCAGGAATCTTTCGGGGGTGGTCCCCCGAAAGATTCCTGGGGATTGTCGGAGCCCCGTCCCTCACCATCCGGAGATGTCGGGCCCCGTCTCTCACCATCCGGCAGCCCCATTGTGGGCCTGGGCGAACCCATAATGGGCCTGCAAAAAAGATGCCCTCTTAGTGCCCACGGGGCGGAAAGAATTTAAAAAAAAACCACACATACGTTTCAAAGTTAAAATGCACGAATAATTTTTATGACTTCAATCAATAATACCTCGATTTTTTATTCAAATACATTAATTGTTTCCGTATTTAATTAGTTTCTAAATTTTAAAATCTGTATAATTCTTTAAAAAAAACTAATACACTAAATGCATTTTAAATTGCCCGAAATATTTATCTGTTTTAACAGCACGAATTAACGTTAATAAATAATTTTTACGATTGCTTAATTAAACAATACACGCACACATTTTTATGCATTATCATATGTAATCGTAACGTTAAAAAACAAAAAAAAAAAATTCTATAACATTTAAGACAATTTACAGAATTAAAAAATATGTATCACTCGAAACCGGCAACACTGCTAGCTTAGAATTTAGCGCCCTCTGGATTGGCTATATGTCTGACGGAATTTTGTAATTGCGTCCTTTTTAGCTGTATTGGCTTTGGGTTAGTTTATAGACTAGTTCCAATAATCCAAATACATCGTCAAAATGATTATCTACAAGGATTTATTAACCGGTAAGGAAGAACGAATATGCTTTAATGTGCGAAATAATGCCATTCGTGTTAGGTTTTAACGCTTAAATTTGTTTTGTAGGCGATGAAATGTTCACCGATTCTTCCAAGTGCAGGCTTGTCGACGATTGTTTGTTCGAAGTCGAATGTCGGGTGAGTTCTTATCTAAAATCTTTCATATGAGTATAATTTTAATGAAAATCATACTTGAACCTCTGTAACGTATTGAATCGACCGTTCGACATTTATCACAAACCCGTCTATCAGATAAGTGTTAAGAGCAGTATGTTAGTTAATCTACGCCTTTTTTTTTTAAGTGGGAATTAATGTCTAGTGTTGTGTTAACATTTGTACTGTTTATATTCCTTTCAATTGGTGAAATGACGTTTTGAAAGAAGCTTAAGATGGTTGCGTATTGGCAAACAGACTGATTCATCAAAATAATTTTTCTGAGAAATGAGGTTATTCACTTCATTAGCGTGCAGTTCATGATTCATTCGTTTTTCTTCGAATATATATTAAGATACATATGGGGGAAAATCAATTATTTTTCAGATAAAAGATGAAAATTTGATTAAACTTTAATGTAAATTTTAATAGTATAAACCAATAATACTTGTGAAGTTATATATTTATAGATTAATAACATTAAATAAACTGGCACCATTTTACATATGTAATAAAACTGCTTAATTCATAGAGTCAAATATTTCATTAGGTAATTTAAATAATGATCAATTTTACATATATGTAACTGTTGTTCTTTATTTGAACAAAGAACTTTTTTTATAAAGTAGGTGGCTTTCTGAATTAAGCTGTTTTAGTATGTTTTATACATAGATTAATCAAATTTTAGTCTGGACCCTCAGTAGTTCAGAGATTTTGAAGAACGTAAGTTACTTTTACGTGTGTGTATACATATACACAAAACCTATTGTCCAAAATTGATTACATGAATAATCTTGATTTTGAATGTGTAAGCAGTACTTAGGGATTTATATAATGTTTTCAGTTCAAAATATATAGCTTTGTGAGTTATAATTTTGTGTTTATTAGTTTATTAAGATTAAATTTATTGGAAGCCTATGATATATGGAAACCTAGTTTGGTTATTTTTGTCCATGAAGACAATACTGTAAAAACCTATTTTTCTTTTTTACAGTTAGAAATTATCATTTTGTTTCTCACAATTAGGAAGTACTTTTAAGTTTTAGTTGCAAGAATAAACCTAGACAACCTAAACCCTTTTTATTTCCAGTAAGTTGTAATTATTTTGGAGTTATATTGATTTGGTTATTTGTAATTATACAAGATTTTGAATGTTTAAATTTTATTTTTACTATCTGTATTATATAAACTTTGTAATAAGTGGCTTTTGTTTTAAGTCAAAATATTAGAGCTGACTAGATCTATACTACATGCAAGTTTTTGGAATAGTAAAACTTTTAAATAAAAACTGCCTTTAAGTGTTAATGACTTAAGATTCAATCAGATTGTGTATCTTACAATGTGTGGCAACCTTAAAAACATTTGCATGAATTTTTTTAGTTTAAATGTCATTTAAGCAAATTTAGATGTGTGAAACATGTCCAGAATCTATGCAAATGTTTATCTGGAACATACAGAAATTAGCAAAATTTGATTTTTTAATTGTGGAAAATAGGATGCAATACTTTAACTGATGAGCTGTTTTTATGGTGTTTTTTTTTTTTTTTTTTTGTGGCTTGTGACTTAAATTAATAATGAAGACACTCCAGTGAAAATATCTTGTTAAATAATCGTCGTATTCTTGCAAGATATTCGTAAATTGTAAGTAAAGTACTTTGAGAGACTACTGTTTCAAACAGGGCTGTGGAGTCGTGTAAAAATCTACCGACTCTGACTTTTCCTTATCATCCAACTCTGACTCTGGCTAAAACATCAAAACTTCACGACTCCGACTCAACAGCCCTGCCAGGTCTGTGGAAGTCGCGTAAAAATCTACCAACTCCGACTTACCATCCGACTACGGCTAAAACATCAAAACTTCACGACTCCGACTCTGTAGCCCTGGTTTCAAAGTAACATTTGTCACTCCATGCATGTTACAAATAGCTGTTCTTAGATGAAATTGTGAAATTTTGGAAGATCTTAATTAAAATACTGTTGAAATAACGATACCAAATCTAACATCTGAAATTATGTATTAGCTGTAATTAGCCTATAAATGAACTATATTAAATAAATTATATAAATAGCTGAATGGTAATATAACAAACTGTTAAGAAGCTATTGAGTTTTATAATTTGGGCATCTGTTTTATCACAAAACATCTGAATTTTATTAATTTTGTGCTAATATGATGTATTAAATAAAATACTTCATTAATATTTATAAAGAAATATTTAATTCTGCATTAACAGATACTGTACAATAAAACATCGTCAGATGATCATACTTTCTTAGAAGAGTTTTTTTTTGTAGAATTTTTCTTGATTTTAAGCTGATAATCAGGATTTTTGTGGGAAATAACCTCTTTGAGGTGACCAGTTTTATCCCATCCAGCTTGATAAAATTGCAACCAAGAGCATGTTGCATTGCATTAATTATGAATTTCTCAGTGTTCTCATAACTTTGTTTATTTTCTTCTGTTCAGTTTTATTGTGGAGGATATATATAATTTGCAGTTAATATCAATTTATCACAAATTAGCCTGTGCCAAGTTCTGTTATTTTTTTTCTTGTTATACTAAATACAGTCAGTGTCAAAATTATAATCTCATCTAACTTTTTTCAATAACAACAACATTAACAATAGTAATGTATTTATTATATTAGTATGTTGTTTACAACATTAATTTAAACATTTTCTGAAATTTTTAAAGCTATCTGACATTTACAAAAAAGAATTATCACATTTTCAATTTTTGATTGTTTCAAAAGTATGAACACAGATGCATAAAATTAGTATGATGATTTTTTTAAAATTAATTATTGGTTTAATTAGTTGTAATCAGAGGGTAGTATCATTCATTATTACAAATGTGATGCCAAGTTTAAAGAGTTTTTTGTAATTTAAAACAATGCCTCATGGAAAACACTAACAGAGTTGGAAATACATGAAATTTACCAACTAAAAGGAGTAGGACAATCTCTAAGATAAATTATGGCAGCTGTAAGTTGATGTACATGTGCTGTGAGAAATGTGTTAACTCATTTCTCACAGCACATGTGAAGAATGTGTTCAGTGTGGAAATTATGGCAGAAATAAGTAATGTGGAAGGTCTAAACTCCTTACTCCTAGAAATGAAAGAGGATTTTCGGCATCAATATTGCCAAGTGCAGTTTCACCAGCAACTGTATGAGGATGTATGCATAATCATAAAAATATGACAAAAATGACTGCTAAACTGACATTAACACAGTTGCACAAAACAGGTAGATTAAAGTGGGCCAAAGACAAGATGAAATGGAAAGGAGTGAAAACAGTCTTTTCAGATGAAAAAAAAATTGGAATTTGGATGGACCTGATGGTTATAGTCACTACTGGCATGATTTGAGGAAGAACAAAGTCAGAATGAGCAGACAGCAAGGTAGGGGCTGTGTGATGGTGTGAGCAGGATTTGGATGGGGGTTAAAACATACATTGTATTTATAGAAGGTAAATGAATTCAGAAAAGTATCAAGAACTGTTGTATCAAAATTTAATAACTTTTGGATCACTTATTGGGTGAGAGAACTTACAATTACAACAGGATAATGCTGCCATTCTTGCATCAAAGTCAACTAAAAATTGGTTTGTTGAAAAAAAAATTTAATGTAATTGATTGGCCATCATGGAGTCCTGATATTAACCCAATTAGAAAATGTTTGGGGCATTATAAGTCATCTTGTTTATGTCCAAAACAAACAATATAATACAGTAAATAAATTGAAATTAGCTAATGTGGATTGTTGGGATAATATTAAACAAGAACAACTTCAAAAACTAGTAAAATGTACGCCTGATAAAGTATTTGAATTAAATCAAATGGTGGACTTACAAAATATTGTGACATTACAAATAACTTTTTATGCACCTTTGTTTATACTTTTAAAACAATCAAAAATTGAAAAATCTCTGATAATTTTTTTTTTTTTTTTTTTTAATTGACAGATAGCTTTAAAAATTTCAGAAATGTTTAAATTGATGTTGTAAACAACATACTAATATAATAAATAATTATTGTTAATGTTTCTGTTGTTGAAAAAGTTGGGTGTGTTTATAATTTTGAAATAGACTAATATAACAATGAAGGATCATTTTATTATAAAGCTTAAATAGAAAAAGCAATTTTCAGTTTAGTCTTAAAAGTTACTAAGTAAATTTAAATCTTCATCTGCAGTATACAGCAACTTTTTTGCTGTAGTGTTAAGCAAAATTATACATTGTTTTTAAAATTTTGCTACATTGCCTAGAACAGTGGTTCTTAACCTGGGGTGCAAGAGAAATTTCACAAATTTAAAAAAAATAAAAAATACAAACGAGGCAACAGTGTTCTCTACAAACTATGGTACCCAGCAACATGGCACCCCCACTTCTCCACTCTCTACTCTACCATCTCTCAGCACATTAACTGCATGTACTGATGACATGCGCTATGTAGTGACATTGTCACGTGCAGTACAGAAACTAGTTGAGACATGTTTGCATACCTTGAATACAGCACTTTTGCACATCAAAACAAAAGCCAGAAATCAGTAAATGCATTTGATGATATTAAAAACGAGGCTCTTATTTTGAAGAGCCTCGTTTTAATAGAATAATTATGAATAAACAAAAACAACCTAGCCATTAAAATTTAAATATTGCTTTTTATGTTATATAGTAATATATATTGTAAATAAACACAACATTTGTTTATGCAATAATTTGATTCTGATGAAACCGTGTTGTGGTTTACCTTGCTTTTTTTACAGACACACTATGGTGACATTACTCAACACTTTTCAGATTATTCACCACTTTATTCAGTTGGGACGCTATTTACAAGTTGCGTTTCGGGCATTAGCCCCTCTTCAGCCAACTAAACATTAAAATAAAACATGAGAAATTATACATGTAAATATGCGAGTAAAACATCCCGTAGATATAACATTTAAAAAAAAATCTTTTTAAAAAAACATACCCTAAAA